CGCAGACACGGGGATGGGCGGGCAGCCTCCTCTGGGAGATGTAGTTTCTCTCAGCGAGAAAATGTTTCGCAGCTTCATGGCTGAGATGCGCTCGGCGTGTCCCATCTCCTGCTCCAGGAGCCGGCGAGGAACAAGGAGCTGCTCGCTGCCTGTGATGGAGCAGGTCTGGGCTGCCCCCCATGTGCCCTAGCTGGGGCGAGGGTTGTGGAGGGAGGGGTAGCAAGGGACGCCTTCCCCTCCTACCTGGATCCACCTACAAGTTTTGTACTTCTGTGGGTTAGGCCGTGTCTCACTGCTTTCTCTGTGTCATTACAACTTCACCGACTGTGTTCTGGATTCTTAGTCTTTTTCTTTTTTTTTTTTTCCCCCTTCTTTTTTTTGTCATTGTTAGCATGTATTTATTGTTTGAAGCTTTTTTAAAAAAAATTATTTACAGCTATTGGGGCTGGAGAAAAACCCCTGTGAGGCTTAAGTTGTAGCACTGTTCATAGTGAGTAGAGATACTGATACTCTCTGTCCAGAAGGAGTAGAGAGCAGGCAGAGGTTTTTAATATTCAAATTTGGTAACACTTGCAAAATTTAGAGTAGACCGAGGGTGTATTCTCTTACCACAAGCTAATGTTTTTCTTAATTTTTTGCTTGTTGGCATGGAGTGAGGTGTTCAGAACAAACTTCTCATATTCCTTTTCATGTTTTAGGCCAACCGTTCAATAAATATATCTGAATAAACTCATGCTAAATGAGCACCTTCTTCATTTTGATTGATGCGGTGCTGAAAGTTAATATTTTCTTTGTGTGCCTTTGAAAGCAGATAAGGTGCTGTGGAAACTAGAATGTCAGAAGATACTGAAGGAATTGAAAAAGAAATAGAAATTGAATTAGGAAGAGTCAGCGTTTCTTTGTTTGAAGAAGATGATCCTGACACAGAGGTATCAGATGAAGCTTTGAGTGATGGTGAGACGGTAAGTACTCAGTGGGCTAAAACTGCTTCTATTTCTGCTTGAAAGTAGTATGGGCATTGGAAAGCCTGTCTGATGAATGAACTTTTTCCTGACATACCTAACCTGGGGATTTCTTCTGAAAAGTAGCCTCAGTAGTGTTGCTTCATGAAAAATGTAACCTCCAGTGGTGACAAGACAATAGAAGGGATGAGTATCAGCACACTGTTTAAGTGAGAAAATCAGACTCTTAGATAATTATTTACTTCAGAATCCTCTGAAGCTGGAAGATTTTATTGAAGCTAATGAGGTAGGTTAAATCCGGATGAATAAACCAATGATTCTTCATTTAAATCTTACAAGAGGCTGTCTTATGTTTGAAGACTTCCTGATATTAATTTCATATAAATTAGTGCTTAAAATCCTCTTTTTTGGATGACTTCTTATTTTGGGGAAAGATTGTCCTCTGAAATCCAATCAGTTATTTGGGTCTGCAGGATATTAGAGTAGATGATAGTGGTCGTATGTGGCCATAAATCCTGTGTTTGGTATGACATAAAGTTAGACAAAGGCTTTAATTATTTATGCACTAACATGCTGAATGCCAGCAGTGTTTACCACAATTTACAAATCTGAGAGAAGGCAGTCCATTTTCACAAATCCTTGCAGTAAAAAACAGTCTTTTAAATACAAAGTATCTATGTAGTAGAGAAAGTTGAAGCATTTGGTTTACACGCATACTTTAAACATCAGTAATTTAAAAATTAATTTATTTTTTAAAGAGTCTGAACATTTTTAAGAAAAAGATCCTATGCATCATAGGTATTAATAGGCATTATTTTTTGTCTTAATCTTTTCCTTAATTTCTTGGTGCAGCACAATTATAAAGGAAATGTTACAATGGGTGATAAGTTACTAAAATGTATTCCATTCAAAATTTAATTATAATATAATTAAAAATGAGAATTATTAATTGTTCAATAGGTAATAAGACAATGGGAAGAGTTTAGGAATTGGTAACAATTTTGGTAGCAATTGCTACTAAAACTCCATCAGTGCTTTATAGGTGAATTCAAAATGAGTCTTTATTCTTGCACATCAAGTATTTACCTCTTGTTGTGGCTGTGAGATGAAAATGCAGAATTTATGCCAAACTTTGTGTTTTTCTAGATTTCAGATGACTTGTCAGAATCAGTTCTGTCCTATTTAAACTTTATAAAGAGCAGCAATCAAGATGCTGAAAAGCTTATAATGAAAGACTTAGAAGATGAAGAAACTACAAGTAAGTAGGAGTCACACTTAAAATATTTATGCACCTTGTATTGCTAGTAGAAGTTAGACTAACAAGCATCAGTAGAGCAATGCAAACTTAAAAAGTAGAGCAAGCAGTGAAACCTATTGCATCAGCTTCTGAATGCACGATGAAAATCTCTAGTAATAAAACAAAGCAATGCTGTCTTCTGAGTATGAATTTATTTTTTCTAAGAAATTCATTTGCTTCCAAACCATAGGTCAAGGCAAGTTGCAGGATCATTCTCTGAAACAGGACCTGGGCCAGACTCTTCATGAGAATCTAAAGTAAAATCACTAGGAGCTGAAGTTAAGAGTTCAGATACAATGGAACCCTATAGGCTATGTTTAAAGTCTGTTTTTAGAGATATCCAAGCTTGCATTAAATGAAATGACCTTGTAATTGGGAACAACATTGCTGTGTCAGCTGTGTGACTGAAGCCAAGCTTAAAGTTTGTATGCCAGAAGCTGGCATTGTCTGTTCCGTTCTAGTTTTTCACATCATCTTGTGTTTCATGCTCATTTAGTGTAATGGTCTTTGTAAAAAAAAAAAAAAAAAAGTTCAATATTGTCTATACACTTTGATATTTGAGGAAGGTTTCTTTTTATGCTTTTTTTGTAATGGACACTGACTCATTTTCATTAGTTTTGTAGTTCTTGGTCAGTTTTTGACCTACCTGATACAAGTTTTGCTGTATTTTTCTACACAGAAAATGTTCTGCTGTGTTCTATGTTGTGGAATTTTCTTTCATATTTGCTGTCACTGGATTCTTATAATATCACTTATGTGTGTTCCTCTTACAAATCTTTGCTGCTTATGATGTAGATAAATGACTCCCATATATATTTGAGTAAAATTGGAGGGAGGATTTAAGAATTTTAAAGGACAAAAATGCTTTATTTTAGTTTAAATAAGTATAGTAGCTAAGCAGTATAGAGCAGAACTGAGTACTGGTAAGGGATTTTCTCTCTGTGTACTAAATTATATATTTATTTCTTCTTTAGGTAACATTTATGGAGTAGTTTCTTGCCATGCTTCAGATTACTTGGCAGAATTAGCTTCTGAATATAATGAAGATCCAGAACAATTTAAAAAAAGGGTATTCTCTATTTAAATAATATTTATTGTGAACAAAACTCTATTAAGTAATCTCAATAATTTACCCTTGCTTTGTTGGTCTCCTAAGGAGACCTATAGATCTGTTCAGTTTTGTTTCTGTCAGACTATCCATAAGGTATTAAGATGAGTTTGTATATGCCATTCTTTAGAACTGTGGCATCAGTTGTAATACACCATGTCTATAAGTTCTAAAATTTGGAATAAATTCTCTGTATCAGTAGTTGAGATGCTCAGCACAAAAATCAACAAAATTAAACAAAACATAATAATCCTTTATCAATTATTTGCAGAATATTATCTCAGTAGTATGATAATACTGAAAGTTCTCTAATCTTATTTTTTGTGATGATCAGCAGGATGTATTACTATTAATCTTGCTCCTAATATATTCCATTATTTTATAGAAAATGTAAACATAATAATGTCCGTAACTTTCAAAGACAAAACAAGAGTTATGAACCTGGGTTCTTTTATATTTTCATAAGATTTGACTGAATAACTTACAGAAGTTCTTAGAAAAACATAAACCTGTATTTAATTTAATGACTTTTAATTTGTTGCCTGGCTTTTATTAGTGAGCACTTTTGCAAACATGAGTTTTTTGTCCTCAGAAAACCATTGTTTAGAACAGTACAAATACTTTATGTGACTTCAGCTGCATTACAAATATTAATATATGCCCCAAGCATGTGATGAATAGATGATAAATGAGCAGTAATAGATTACTTCTTGCCAATAAAGAACAATGAAAGAAATATAGCAATCTTTGTGCTCATAGCATTATTCTCAAATAGACTTCTTAAATATTTGCTCTGTAACTAGTTCTTCCCCAATGTGCATAACAGTATTAATGCATAAATATAGTGCTTAGTTCCATATAAATTAAAACAAATCCCAAATGCAAAACATTCATTTTTCCAAGTCAAAATGGAATATATTTTAAAAATACACATAGAAGTATTATGAATTTTGGGAAATACTCTAATATTTATTACTCTAGAAAACAATATTTTGACTGATATGTTCACATTATTCAATGTTTAAGGATTCTGGGCATTATTAAGTTTTGTATTGGACTTGTCATATGATAAAAAGCTTATCCTTGTTCTGGAATATTTTTGTAATATTCTGCTGTTAATTTTTTTTTCTTGTTTCTTAATGACAATATTAAACTATATTAGGTACTGTTTGAAATTGAAAATGAAGACCTGCAGATTGCTACAACACCGAGTTGCAGAAGTCAGTCCACCAGTGATGAAGTGGTTACTGATGATAATTTTGTTACTGGTAAGCAAATGCATTAGTTGTTTGGTTAAGTTGATCTTTAGCATCATATCACTATTTCCTGTTTCCATAAGTGTCATAACATTCTTTGTAAAGAATTGCATGTTACAGTATACAATAGATTTTGATACTTCATGAGTTATACATGAGCAGATGCCTAGCCTTTTATCTCATTTCAGGATCAGAAAATTATCATAGTCCTTAATGTCTTGATAGAAATTTGTTTCAAAAAATACTACCCCAAAAATATTTAAATAGTTATGTGTATAAATGGAAGCCAGATTGGAGGCACTAGGCAGGTTGTGCTTTGTCCACAACTTTTTATTTTTTTATAGTCACATTGACTGGGAATGTTTCTCTTCCCCATCACCTTTGTATGTTTTGGAGTGGAATGCTGATAGCCACAGAAGACATTCCACTTGAAGCCAAAGTGTAATCCTGAAATATACGTTGGTAGAATAAGCATGATTGTAGCAGAGTCGGTAAGTACGTGTCATGATAATGAGACATCTCTGATAGAAAAGACTCGTGCTGTAGTTCTGATTTCCTTGGGGATATACATTGTTGGCTGTATCATCACAGAGTCCTTTTCTGGTCAATACTTTATATGACTGTTTAATGTCCCCCAGTGCTTATTAGGAAATTAGATAAAAGATTTGTTTGGTTTATTACAAATTCATAGCTGATGTTGAAATGAGCGTAAGCCTTACTCATCGTGAAGTAGAAGAAAAGTGTAGACAGGAATTTGAGCAGTGGGAGAAAAGACAAAGAGAGCTTGAAGACGAGAAGAGGAAAAAGTGGAAAGCTGAGAAGGAAGCACAGGAAAAACAGAATGAAGAGGAACATGCAAGAAGGTTGCAGCGTCTGGAGGAACTTGAGGCTGAAAGAATAGAGTTAGAGCTTCTTCATAAGGTAATTAATGATGCTGAAGTCAATCTGTTCACATGTAGACTATCTGAATTCAAGATCTAATGTGAAAAAGAGAGTACTAACCCAAACTGTATGGCTGTCCTAAACTCTGTCTACTTGTGATACCAGAGTGAGATGTAAGACATATTTAAGTGTGATCCATTCGTTTTTATGCATTTACTGCTTTGATCAACAGTGGATGAATTTGCTATTCTAAATGATATGTTATTCTTCAGCCTTTGCCCTTACTAAGTTTTTATATTATGACACCAACCAAAGTCCAGAAATGAGAGTTGTGCTTAATTACTCAGAAATTAAAAATTGTCAGTGTGTCTTGGTAGAAAATACTTATTTACTCAGACCTCCTACCCCATTTCCACATTTAGATGAAAAATCATAGGTGAAGTAATCTGAACCAAAATCAGTTCAGAAATGCTGGTGCTGCACTACATCTAGGTAAAAGTTACAATACTCCCTTGTCTTGTCTGTATCTGGGAAAATGGCAGAACTCACTTCATCCGCTGAGTTCTACCACAACATAACATGACTCCACTGTTGACTAGTTGCATTCTGAAAGCATCTGGTCATGTTTTGCTGTAGTGCATAGTGCATACTGAAGGATAAAATTTGATATCTCTCCACAAAAGAGCATGAGCATGAAGAAATGTAACCTTCAGACATTATACTTGTGGGGCCACAATATTTATTTGTGTCTTGAGAGCTGCATTAGCACTGCATTTTCAGTTAACTAATTTGTAGCTTTCTGAAGAGGTGTGCATCTGGATCCCAGAAAGGTAATTCAAGTCACCAAAATTAAGGAAAGGCTTAGTAAGTGAAAAGACTTTTAATCTCTGAAGGCCAGTTTAGTGTCTGATATAGCTCAGTTTTCAACAAGCCACAAAATTGGTTAGGCTTCCTCTGCTTTGATGTCATGAATCATAGTTTTAGATGTAGAATGGCTTTCTTTCTCTAGACAAGGTGGGGCATCTCCCCCCCATGTAGACACTTCGATTATGCTGTCGCTAGCACACTCTTTTTGGAGGTGAGAGATGGAGGCTAACTTCCCCCATTACAGGAGGATCTAGAAGTCTAGTCTCCTATTGTCAGAACAGCGTGCTTCTGAACATGCATGAAAAAGAGTGCTTAGGCACCTGGAAGACTTTATGCTGCAATTTGGAAGTGCTAGTTTGTTTATACTGGTTCCTCCATATCCTGCTGTATATTTGATTTGGCTGATACTGATTTATCTCTTCCACCAGGAGTTATGTGGTTCTGGATCAGCCCTTGGTTTTTAGGTACTTACTGTCTGATTTTCAGTCAGATGTAATTCCAGATAATTCAGATTTTTTTTACTGATGGAGAATTATGTTGGGTAAGGAGGAAAATGCTATTTATTTGCCAACAGTGAGAAAATAGACTTGAACTGTCATTTTCCATTAAGAAACAATTTCAGTGAAAAAAATTTCTTTAGCTTTATTGGACAAAATTCATGTTTGAAAGATTTTAAGATTATTAGTAACATACCAGTGAAATTAAAGGGGGATTGTTCATGCTACTTTCAGAGTGTTTCTGTTATCTACCTGTACTTTGAATGTTTGTTACAAAAGTGTAGTTTTCATCTTCAATAGTAGTACAGAATTTGGAGAGGAAGGTGGCAGTTGTTTGGGTCAGTACCAACATGCTGACTCTCTGAAGGTATGCATCTTTCAGTACATGACCAAAGCTGCATTACGGATGCAAGCATCCAGTTGCTTATTTTGCTCCTCTCACAGCTGAGTTTCTCATTTTAATTCAGACTTTTGCAAAAATGGACTGTAGGAAAGTCAAGGAGATGGACGAGGTTGGAGAGAGGGTGTTTTGTGATATTGCAGGTTTTTTTACAATATTCATTTAAGTTAATTTGTTGTGCAGAAACACCAAACTGCAATAGAAGATGAATTACAGAAAGAAAAGAAAGTTTGGAGAGACAAAATGATGCAGCACAAGGTAAGGTTGTACAATGAGCTTTTGTCAAAAGACTGTGAGGTTACTGTCATTTATATATTTGAGAATAAATTTTATTCTGGAATAGTTAATACGCCAGATTCAGTTTATTAATGATAAATATGTGCCAACACCTGTCCTATTTCAAAAGTGGCTGAAGTCTGTCCTAATTGTTTTGGCCTAGGAATTGATCATGAAGCTACAGTTGCAAATGGAAGAGGAGAGAAAGACCTTGGAAGAGCAAAAAGCAAAAGAAAGACAACACCTGGCAGAACAACAGAATACAGCAGCTGTGAAAATCCAAGCTAGATTTAGATCATTTTTAGTCCGTAAAAAATATGTTTCAATCTTAGAAGAATGGAAAGATAAAATAAAAAAGAAGCAGAAAATACAAGAAGAAATAGAGAAAGAAATGAAAGAAAAAGAGGAGAAAATGAAGATGCGAAGGGAAGAAAATAGGCAAAAGAAAGAGGGAAAGAAGCGACTAGAAGAACTTGAAAGACAGGAATATTTGGAACAGGTGAGGAGACGTGAGGAATATGAGAAAAAGAAAGAAAGCCTGAGACTTGAAAGAGAAAAACAGCTGCAAATAAGAAGAGAGGAACAGAGAAAACTAGGAGAAAAAAAAGTGAAAGCTGTGATGTGTGAAAGTGGAGAAAACAACAAAGAAAACATAAAAAGGGATAAGCAGTCAGAAAATACAAAAGTAATAAAAGAACAGAAGAAGGAACTAGATAAGCAAGTAGAGGAACAAAAAGAAAATCAGACTGAAATGGTGGATGAAATAAATGATAGGATGATTCCAGCAGAAAGAAATTTGACACCCACACCAAATATGCTAGGCTCTGAGAAGGAACACTCTACTCAAGTAAATAATGAGAACACAGGCATGAATTCAGTAACATATATAGAAGAAAATTACTCACAAACTAGAGATCTTAATAAAGCTTCAAATAGCCATACTTCAAAGGATGAATCTGTTAATTTTGGAGATAATGACATGGTAGAAAATAAGGCATACACTATATACAGCAGTCCACTGAATGTCCAGCCACATGCTAGCAATGGAGGAGTCAAAGCTCAATTTTCTCATTCTGAAACAATGAAGGAAACTGTTTTTCTTACAGAAGATGCTAATGAGGAAGTCAGAGACACTTGGGACAGAATTCAAGATGTAACTGAGTGTTCCAGCAGACAAATTCTTCCTCATGATATTGAAAAGAAGAGAATAAACTGGATGAACACATGTAAATCTTGGTCTAAGATATATGAAGAAAACCAAGGAAAGCAAGCAACTATAAAAAGACGACCAAGGAAACGTTCAGTTAGCAAGATGCCTCCATTAAGTACACAAAAGATAATTCAGAGTGGCCCTTGGAGTACTCTGCAGCAGGTAACTATACAGAAGATTTAGAATGAAATTGGAAGCCATACCATCACTTTTTTTTTTTTTTTTTTTTTTTGGATTGTTTGGGGGTAAGAGGATGTAATATGGTATGTCAGCAAAATGCTGTTTTGGAAGAGGAGGAGATTATTGTTGAGCAGGATATAGAACTCAGTGAGAATTCTCAAGACAAGTGAGAATGACTTTTGAATTCCTGTGAGCATTGTGGAGCAGACTGGTATGGTATTAATGTTCAGATGATTGATCGTATCTTAGGCCTGAAAAGGCAGGAGCTCCTAGCTCTTCCCCCCCCCCCCCTCCCCCCCCACTAAATTAACATGTTTTTGCCTTTGTATGAGAGTCTGCATTTGAGCTCCAGCTCATCTAGCCATCTAGCCCCTTCAGAGTCTTAAGAAGACTGTTTGTTTTTTTTTTTCAAGGAGCAAGACATTGCTTATCAGCTTATAGATGGTGTTTTGGCATAAAGAATCTCTTGGTTTCTAACACTCACTTTTCTTACCACTTGCTAACTTACCGCTGTGTGCTTGCCCTGTGCTCTCTTCTTGGTATCCAATCTGAGATGAGATATTAGACTACATACACTTTGTCTGAACTATTTTTGTCTGTTCTTGCACACTCACTCGTTATTAATCATAGTTTGAAGGGAAACAATGCTATTAATTGCTTTGCTCAGTGTTAATCTTCCATCCATTCAAACTCAAAGTCATTAGCAAAGTATTAGTTTAATTTATTTTAAGGTGGATGTTAAAATCAAACAGTTTGTTTTTGTAATAACTTGTCCTATTTAAAAGATCAAACCTGTCGTTGCCATCCTTTTCTACATGAAAAGATTAGCATTAGTTGCTTGCATTTTCTGAAGTATTAGTAGAATGCAATTTTGGTCTCTTTCTTTTTAAATAAATTGTCAGCATAATGTGACATTGTACAATGAATGTTCAATATACAAAAAATTTTATTTATCAATAAATGCATGTAGGTCACAACAATTACACTTGAAGATTTGCCAGCTTGTAGTCTCTCAACATTATCCGAGTGTTCGAATCTTCAAGTTTTGACTCTGAAGCGCTGTGGACTAGTTGCACTGGAAGGACTAAGTAGCTGCAAAGACCTAAAGTATATCAATGTGGAGGTACCAAGAGTATTTGATTCTTTATTATAACCTGGGGAAAACTGCCAGTTTTGCTGCTTAGGTGGTTATATAGTTGTGTCCAGCTGAAACTTCTAGTGCCTTAAGAGCATAGGAATATCAACAAAATACTCCCAAATGTGAACAGGTATACCAGCAGATTGCATTGCATATCTCAGTTTGCATTGCACTAAAGCAACATCCTGCAAATCAATCCAGCTATACAAAGAAAAGTGCATGATAGTATCAGTCTAGGATTAACATTAGTATGGTACAGTGATAGATCTTCATTACCTCAGTTGCTCTGATTCAGGAGTGGGCAGATGCTGTTCAGTATAGCAGGTGCTCAGCTTAAGCAGGAGTAGGTACAAGGAAGAGTCCTTTGCAATACACTTCCTGAATAGTAGTCAAAATTACTTGCATATATGCTCAAGGAACAGTATAATGAGATACACTAGCGACATAATGTCTGGGTACTTGCTACTGCAGTGTCTTACATGAAAACGTTTGTGATGCACTACAATTTACATGAAACAGCTCTGTTCACATTTTTTATTTCACATGTTTTAACAACACCAATTCACAAGAAAGTTAATATGCCCTTATTATTCATAGAAATCTTGAATGTTTCTACTTGCCCAGTAACTGGTGTTCTTTCCAAAGTATGGAGCTTTTGTTAGTTTTGTTTTTTGGGTTTTTTTTTTTTTAAATTAAATTCAGAAAAGAGAGTAATTATAGTTAAAGGAGTGTTGTCTGTCCAGTAATTAGAGCTTTGCAATAGGGCAGGTTGAAATATCTGTGTCCTTTTCTCAGTTTTCTTATGTATTCAGAACGTAATTTCTGGGATTTGATAATTTTGGGTACCTCAAAATACAAGAGCAAAGTGTTAGTATAAGGGTGTAATATATATCTAAGCTGCCAGTCTGGATTTCCAGGTTGATATTTATATTTTAATTGTTTTAGATCAAATGTTGTCTCGTACAGAACAGTTATGGGTCTGTGGTTTGGTTTTTTAATTATTTTAAAATGCTATGCTTTAAATAATATACAGGAGTGCCTCACTGGGATATGTCAGGATAATTTAGTTAAGGAGAAGGCTCTTAGATATGCTTTTAAGCTTACTTTATTAATAATATAATGATTATATATAGTTTTAAAAATGATACTTTATGTTTTTGTTGTGCCAGCTAATGTGGCAGTTGTCTTCCATTCAACTTTAATGAATAAACAGCCTCTTTTGTGACAGTTGAAACAGTCTTAAGATTGTTTCATGGGTATTTCTCACGTAGCTAAAGCAGCTTCCTCTGTTTCCCTTGGACATTCATTCCTACTTGATATTGCCCCTAACTTCTGTTGATATAAAAGGTAACACTTAAGCCATATCAGCTCTCTGCTTTAATTTACTGGTGCAACTGAAGGGGCTGTTCCAGGGCGGAAATCGGTGTTAATGGCTTCTAAAGGAAATCTGTATGCCTGTCTGCCTGCAGCTGAAGGCAGCACCCAAATCTAGTCAGCATGTTAATTCTGGAATAGGAATTAGACTCTTTGGCTTAGTCCTTTTGTTGCAAAGGCAGGGAATTTAACTTTTGTTTGTTTGAGCATCTTCAGGTAAAAACCAGAAGGAAACAGCAAGGGCAGCAAATAGTGAAATAAAAATCTGAGGAAGCATTATTAAAATGGCCTGGGGAAGGGGATCTTAAAAGAGCAAGATCACTTGGGGGAAGAACATTAGCTGAAAACGGTGTTAATGTTTATTCACAAAATAGCTCTAAATGCAGATTTTCACTGGAATTCCAGCAAAGTCACATCTGTCTTCATTAGTGTTGAGTAAATATGATGGTTTCTATACAGTTTTTTGTTCAGTCTCCCAGGATCTGAAAAGCTAGGAAAGCTTATATAGAAAAGACTACTCTGTTCTTAACTTCTCTTTACACATTTTTTTTTTTTTTTTTCAATTTCTGGGCATTTTCAGAGACAGAATGACATTTGAGATATACTTCTCTTCTAGTCCAGCAGGACACAAAAGGCAGTTTCTATAACTCATCAATTTATTTTCCTAGGGGAAAAAAATAGAGATGCCCTTACTGCTAGCTAGAAGTTTAGGATAAAAATAAGTAATTATGACAGTCTACCATATTTTTACACTTAATTCTGCTATTTCTTTTCAAATGCTATTTAATATTCTCATTTTCCTTTATTGCAGGAAAACAACATTCAGACAATTGACTGTGGAAATCTAGAAAATCTCTGTATTCTGATTCTGAATAAGAACAGTCTTTCATCAGTTTGTGGCTTAGATGGCTGCATAAATCTCAAAAATCTTGAACTTTCCTACAATAGAATCACTCGACTTGGTAAGAAAATTAATGGAAAATTATTTCAATTTGCATAAGAGTATTTGTACTGTTTATATGCAGAATTTTATTTCCCTTGGATTCAGGGCCAACCAGCTGCTAAGCCCAAGGAGAATGAGGAAACAGAACAAACTTGCATTTTAAAGCGTACTAAACTTCACATTTATTTGTAGTATGGCTTAGTTACTACCATGTATTCCATCTGCTAGGTCATATAACTACTGTCAGCCAACAAGAACTAAAAATCTTTCTAGAAGGGCCCCTAATATTACCTGCACTAACTCAATTGGAATATATGAGTAGCCTGAGTTCAGTTTATCTGCAGAAACAGTTAATATAAAACCTAGCTGTGCAACTGCAGAGAATTCCACTGTGTTACTGACTGACACAGTAAGTAGTTATATAGAAATCATATTATCTCTCTGAGTCTGTGAACCGTGCTAAGGCTGGACCATGGCCTCTCTTTCTACTAAAATGCTGCCCATTCTGACTTCAAACTGTTTTTCTGGGTTTCCCTCCCACTTTGGCTCTTCATTGCTGCTTATTGCCCCAAAGCTGGAAAAAACAATGAATCTAAGGTAAAATCATGCAAATGATTTAGGCGCAGCAGGTGTGCCAACCCCTACTATATTAACAAAGGCAGTTTGTTATATTTGTTAGGTCCAACAGTTGACAGGCAACAGGTGTACCTTTAGCATGCAGTCAACCAGTTAGAATTTACGTGCACCCAGACCATTCAACAGATGCATCAATCCATGAAATCTTTCTGCCAGGAGATAGATATTTTCTGTTGGCCAGGAATTTTTCATGTAATGGAGAAGTGTTTACCTCTCTACCTGTACTGCCACTCAAACTGTGAAGTGCCTAAGGGGTAGATATTGTGTCTCAGCTTCTGGCAAGCCCAAAATACTGCATTGTGAGCCTTGCGTTACATAGATTTGGTATAGATGTAATCAGGATCGAGAGCCTTTTCTGCTGACAAAAGGTCACGATAGCATAGTGCAGTGAAAATAACGAAGAGCTTTGATGTATGTAAGTGGAGGAGCCAGTTTTTTGTTTTTAGAATGATGTATGGAGGGAAGATCATTAGTGGTCCCTCAAAAGCAACATTAACAGTTGAGGAAGTGTTGTAAATTGCCAGATCATTAATTGAAAGGGAGCTCTCAGGGCTTGCAAGGAGCAAATTTCCTTCAAGAAGGCAGCACAGCAGATAGAGCGGAACTATATTTAACAACCTCCCTGTACTCTGGGGACTTGGGTTTTGGTGCATGACATACTGTGAAATTCGTAAAGGCCATTAAGTTACGGGTGACTGTGTTTATAATACAGTCAGTAAACAGAGATGAATCTTAGAGATTTGTCCATTGAAATAAACTCTTATGGTCAAGAAAAAGAAAATTGCATATGAAGAAGTAATTAATTTCATATAAATTGAAACATGAAACCTGAAAAGGTGACTTTCTAGTTGTATTTTTAGTCTGTATTAAATAATCTAAAGATGTTACTTGTAAAGACTGCAGAGCTAGGAATGGAAAGGAGATAAGGAGATTTTGATTGTATCTGTCTTGAGACTTTAAATTTTGTTTAAAGTATGTGGACAAACTTTTATTTTCCTGCTGTCCAGCAGGAAAATAATACAAAACAATTATTAAGCTGATAGATGAAACACATTCGCATAAGACATGTATATAAAGAAATGGTTTCCACTGTTGAAAAAAAAAAAAGACTGAAACATTATGAACATGGATATTGCAATTCCATGATAAGTAACAAGGCACAGCAAACAGGAAATGGAAAAGCTTAAAAAAAATCTGTAGTTTTGGGAGGTATAATGTTGATATTTTTAATGGGTTTTTGCTAATATGTGCAAATTTGGAATGTTAGCATTTCTGAACAGAGTTTATAATGCCTGAGAATAAAGGTGCTCGTATATCAATGTTTATTGTAAATGTGTATCAGTACCCTAAGGAGAAACAATAAAATAAACTGGTTAAAGAAGCTTCATCTATATCCTTGTGGCCAATAATGCTGGATAAGATTCTTGTTCAGATTTATCTCATTTGATAAAATGTCTGCAAGATTACTGAAAGAGTGACATAGTGTTAGTGGGTGACATTTAGGAGTATGGCATGTGTGTGGAATGTAGTATCTTTGTGCAGGCCACGTGGATTAAAATCCTCTCGTACTTTCTGTTTTGTGCAATGTGCAGCTACGTTTAGTGAGTCTTTAATGAATTTCAGTGGATAAATAAATGTTCAGAAAAATCAGCTTGGAATCTGTCTTTCTCCTCTCTATAATTGCTTTGGGGATGTCTGGTTAAAACAGATGCATAATACAGGATTTATTTCATACAATAGCATGTTGGTTGTAAGTAGTTGCATAGAATACACAAAAATTTATGATTTTAAGAAGTTATTGTGTCCTTCCCATCTAAATCTTGCAGGATGTCCCTTAGCAATTTTGGAAGCTGCAGTACTGTGCAATGTTCTCTATTCATTCAGCTTTAACAAAGGCTGTGGGCTTTTTTCTAAGAAGTAAGGCTTATTTATGTTTGTAATACTTCTGGTTTAATAACTTATTGTAGGAAACTTCAAGCATACTATGATTTCTTTTTTCTTCCCTTATTGAAATATAGCATCAGTAGGGGAAAAATTAGACTTTCCAGAAAACCCTTAAAAATAACAGTATAAGTATGAGAAATATGTCTCAATTACGCTTTTCCACTTACGAATGCGTGATCACAAATTAAGTAATTGTGTCAGTAATACACTGACGTTCAATGCATATATTTATACTCGGAAGATGAATGCTTTACTTAAAAATTTTCTTACACAAAAAGTAGCATTTTGACTTGAGTTATAGATGCTTTTGTAGGGTGTCTATATTGCCATAGTATGTTGGCTAAAATCTTGGAAGTGCTGAGAACAGCAATGCATAACTGCGGATAGTTGTAAATGCTTCTTTGGACCTACTCTTTTTAAGAAAGCATATAGAGGTTTTATACTGAAAGAGACCTTTCAGTTTGGGAGGGTTTTTTACATGTGTGTTTTCATCTTCATGTTCACTGTCAGATTTCTCTCCTCTTATCATTCATCTTTGTCACTCGTAGAAGTTACTTCAGAACTCCATTGATAGCTAAGTAGAGTCCCTAACTAACACACTCCAGCTGCACTTTGCAAATTGCTAAGAGCTACCTATGTAAAGGTTCTCCACAAATCTTGCTGAAACCATGTTTTTCAACAGAATGCTTTTTTGCATGTATTGCTACAGCTGTTGTTGGTTGCATCATATGTAAAACAGACAATATCTTCTGGAAATGTGCAGAAGACTTTCATGCTTATTTCTAATTTTGCATGTGTGCAGAAGAAACGTTAAAATGCCATCTGGTTGTAGTACGTTATTCCCTCTCATTAATGTCTCTGTTGGATTACATTTGATAGTTCTAGAATAAATTGTGATCCATTGTATGTAGCCTTGGTATGTCTGTTCTGAATGACATTCAGTCTAATTAAACAAGACGGTTGAGGAGGAGATGTAAAAAAGGTGCTTTGTACAACATGCAGAATATGAAATTTCCAGATCCTGTATTAACTCCTTGCCTTTTCTTACTGTATATGAAGTCTCTGCCCCACTCCAGACTAATTTAGTGCTTTTAAAGTTTCTGGTACTGCTATGCTGATAGCTTGAAAGTGGAGATTTAAGGACTTCTCTTGTGAAGAAGTCTTGGAAGCTGTTCTTAACATGTCTGAAATGAAATTATTTTGATACCACTAGGTGGTGCTGGTTCCTTTTTTAATTTTTATCCAAGCATAAAAGAAAATGTAGACCAGGATCTTGCAGTCCGGGTAGTATGTTGTGGGCATGTTTGAAATTCTTTCAGAATAATTAAAGATTTGTATATTTATTTCCTAAAGCACAGTTTTGAAGTTACAGTATGGGACATTTGTTTTAGATTTAGGATGTTATCACTTTAATATCAGGCAATTGTGTTATTTCCACTGGATGCTTTCCATTTTTAAATTACTATGATTTGAGGCCTATATTTGATTTTTTTTTTTTTTAATGTACTGCTAGTTTTGGCATTTAATTTTTTACTTCTGTTTTCTCTTTACCATTCATTTTCTTTTTTAATTCCTCTTCTGTATTCTCAATAATCTATGGTGCAAACTGGTCTCCGGTCTTGTAATCCAGTTCATTTTCAGAGGTCAATCACAAAGACGTTCACCTCTGAAAAGCTCATCCAGCTTCCTTTTGGGAATTTGGGAAGTTTTGGGTGAGATAAAGATGAGACAAAATATTACTTCAAATAATCCTGTGAAGAATACATGAAAGAAAATTAAATTCAGAAATTCCTTATTTTAGATATGTTTTGTAAAGGGTGTCCCTTCAAAGGAATTTTGCTACAGAGATACAGAAAAACTACTTGGACCTGTAGCAAGTCAGATGCATCAGTGCCATTGCAGAACATCTAGCAAGTGTAAGACTGTGGAAATACAGTATGATAACACACATTCTTGCTCTTTAAGTTAGCTGACAGGAGTAAGTTTGTTGAGAGTGTAATGGCTATAGAAGTATAGCTTTATACTTAAAGGCACTAAATTTTCTTTATAAATTTCTTCATTAAAAATATTTTATAACATAATTCCTTAAACAAGATGCACTTAAATAATAGAGGTGGTACTGTCCTAAGTTTTAACACAATTTGTTCTCACCTTGCTGATAACTTGGAAAAAAAAAAAAAAAAAACACTTTAAAAATGAAATAACAAAAATTAACTTTTGAACATAAATACTGTTTCCATTCTGAGGGTGACTTTAAGAGAGCTGTTAGCATTTCACAGAGCCCATAGATTTTGAGTAGCAGTTATGAGGTGCTTAAAGCATAGTAAGTATAGTTTATCACTAAAAGAATGTTTTATTCCAACAGAAGTGCAGAAGGGATTATGTACTGTTGTTATTGACTGGTTAAAGGGATCAGAAATTTGTGAACTGTATGCATTGTATATTTGATAAGGTCAAAATGCAGTAATTGTTTTTAAACCTTACACAGGACTAATATTAATTGTTACTATAGATAGTATAAATGTATGGAAATTTCAGTTTCCTTAGTACTTGAAAACCATGAGGTTTTTATTTCATTATGGCTTAATTTTTCTAAAATCTTTAATTTTCAGGTGGTTTGGAGTCATTGAAAAATCTTCAGCAGTTGATTGTGGACCATAATCAATTAATCAGCACAAAAGGTCTTTGTGAGGCATCTACTCTCATTCATCTAGACTGCTCTTTTAATCATCTCACACAAGTTGAAGGCATTGAGAATTGTGGCCTTCTTCAAATTTTGAAGTTGCAAGGCAATAACCTCCAGGAGGTAAAAGCTTTTAATTCAATGCCTGTTGTGCATACATCTTTGTTAACAGTCATATTTTTCAGAATGCTCATTGTATACTCTTTGTTTGCTGTGGGATATTTCATGCTCTTAGGTAGGCTTTTTTCCCCTACTAGAGGGAGATTTTTCAAACATACAAATGGCTAGCAGTTAAGTATTTTCTTTCTCCTAAGTCCTTGAAAAATTGGCCCCTCAGTAATACTATTTCCCTCCTTTGTTTGTAGCATCTAGTCTTCAGTTTCTATTATATGATGCTGATTCTTTGTTTAAAATGTAACAAAATATTATTATTACATGTAAGTAATAGTTCAGATTGATTTGATGTATGCTGATCCTCCAAAAGTTGAAGTTTATGCTGCAGCATTTAAAATAGGAAAGTAGTTTGCTAACTGTACACTTGGTCATATTTACCAAGAATGATTCTCTTATGAATCCAAAAGAGGAAAACTGTTGTCAATAAGCATCAAATAACTGCATGAATAAAATCATAAGATTGTGGATTTTGGGCTCTTGACTTTTTTTTTTTTTCTTTTTCTTTTTTTTTTTTTTTTTTTTTTTTTTTCTTTTTTAATTTATGTTGACTTTTCAGGCTTGATAGAAGACATTAAAAAATACTTACCACCTGATAGGTAGAAATTATGTGTGACAACTGGTACATGCATAATAAGGAAATGATACATATATCCAAAATGTGGTTTTTGCTTGTACTTAGTAATGATTTATGAAAAGCATCTGGTAAGCATTCCATTGTTGTGTCTCCAATTTATATTAATTTTAAATAACCATTTCTTTTCTATTTAGATTCCAATACTGGAAAATCATGTTCTCCTAAGAGAACTATATTTGGATGACAATAGCATTTCTGCTGTGCAAATGCTTTCTTTGTATTGGTTGCCTCTATTGCAGATTCTTTTACTGTCTCAAAATAGGTAAGCAAGAAACATTCTTCCACTTCAAAAATGATGCAGAAGAATTTACTAACATAACACTTATCTGAAAAGTGTAATTCTTAGTATGGTTAAAATATCACTATCTTTTCCAGATATTCTTTGAAAATGTGTGGTTGACATGTAATGACATCAGCTACCTTTAGCTAAGAAAATTTGAAACAGGATTTACTATGAAAAGTATTTTTTTTTCTATTAGATGTTATATGAAAATAATTTTTGAGCATTTTGGCATTATTAAGACCATGGTGTTTCTTTTTTTTTTTTCCTTTCTTTAGCAATTGTTTCTAGAGTATGTCTGTCAAACTTCATATTTCACAGCTAGCTTATTCAAAGCAGACTTTGAAGGCTATGTTAAGTGCAACTACTAGAGTTAAAAAGGACACATGAGAATGTTGGTTTTTATTTTACATACATTTGTTAATTCTTTCCAAAACAAGCATATTTGCTTTAATTTTTCACTCTTATGGTTCAGTTTGAAAGATACAAAATAAAAAAGAAGGATCAAGACAAGCAGCATAAAACTCAGTACTCTGTAATTAGCTTTATGTTCATAGTCTAAATTAATCTGTTCATCTGTAGAGTAAGAATGACCAGATAGTCAGGAGTTAAAATTATTTCCCCACTCCCTGTTTCTCAATTAAAATTCTTCTAAAAAAAATAAGGAGCAAGTATTAAAATTTACAACATGTTATTTTCTGTACTGTGACCATTTTGCTCTGAACAAGATGGATCTCAGATAAACAAATAGAATATATTCTGTCACACAGAATATACAGAATATACACTCTGAACTAGTCACTTAAGTCTCCTGTTAGTGAAAGCAGAGATACTTTTGGAGTGTGATTCATCTGACATTTTTAGCCATTTGCTTTGAGACTAATCAGACCCTACAAGTACCTGTTCATCTTCATTGACTATTAGCAGAGTCCAAATGACCAGCTCACATGTGGGTGTCTACATTTGAATAGATGAATCCCATCCTATGTGACATTTAGGTCAGCAGAGTCAACCGTTGTTGGAAGCCTGTCTGTAAGACTGGGTCCTGTTATTATAAGGAATGTCCTTCATGGAAAATTAATATTATTTGAATATTATTATGCAACCTATATTTTTGTATAACTTTTCAGATTGTTTTCAAATTTTCTCTATTGAAGTAGTATGCATGTAAACTCTTGGATGTAAATATAACACCTAGCTATATTTACAGAATCTAATCTTCAGGTAGCTGGGCTTTTAGGTTTGGACCGGGAGCGGTTTGTTCTTTTACTAATTCTTCTGGAATTTGGAGAAGGTGCTTCCAGCCTGTGATTAACAAGAGTATTATTAGTTGTTAGAATCTGAATCACTGATTTAATTTGTGTGTGTGTGTTTTTGGGGGGTTTTTTGTCTTTTTCACCTTTTTGTGCAGCAGTAATGTGGCTCTACTGTCTTGTAGTTTCAGCCTCTTCCTCCACTTTGTTTTTTGTTAACATTAAGGTGTAGCTGTGCTGTGTGTAATAAAACGTTTGCAAAACTGCTTGAAGATGTCATGTGCCTGCTAGGCAGAGAACAAACTTAGGAGCACAGTCTCAGGCATAGCTTGAATGTAGCCTCTGCATCTAGGTTTTGCTGGACTGGCCACGCAGATGTACCTTGTGTCGCTCACCTATCCCATGATCTTACAGTTTTTAATGTCCATTATAGTGCTCACTCTGGTTTTCCAGTGGCCAAGCTGAGACACAGTGCTTGGTCCATTGAGTGTTTCTTCTGCTGGACAGGGAGAAAGCACAGATTTTGCATCATCAAACTGGATGTGCTGAAAATAAGCACATACCTCCTCCCCAAACAATTCTCTTTCCTTGATGCATCTATAGCTTATCTCAAATCTTTGTGAGAAACAGGACATGATAACCTTAAATGCATTCTAAAAGCCTTAAAATTCCTAGCATTTCAGTAGCCTGCTCTGTTACACTCGCTTTATATACACTTATAAGCAGCTCCATATGTGTGTGCTATAGCGTAAGTAACTCGATGTTCTATAGAAACAGTGAATGTAATGGAGTAAGCTGTTGAAAGAAAAGCTGTTTCTTTACTTTCATCCTACAGCTAGTTCAGTTTTGTGATTTTTTTTTTTTATTATTATTTTTTTAAGTGTGCACTGAGTGCCATTTCCTTTTTACTGATTGCAGGAAGCCCACAGAATGGTAATGCTGTGAATCTGTATTCTTTCTAAAAGTGAAGTACTGTGAAAAGAAAATTCTTACACTAATTTACATTATTTGTTTTATTCCTAATATATTTTTTCTGTATCATAAACGAGAAATTGCCAAAGATAAAAATTTAATTGTTTTAAACCTACAGTCTAGCAACAAGGAATTATAATATAACAGGTAGTGAATAACTCCTTCAAATATAAAAATGGCAGCTATTTCACCGCTACTGCTTTTATTAAGTGTTTTATTGTGGCTTTCACATGTAAAGCATATGACTTGGTCAGTGTCCAGTTGGCCAAAGTCAGTGGTGAATATCCTCTTGGCCTGGTTACTGCAGAATTGGGACTGTTAGGATCAGTGCTCTATTTTATAGCAGCTGGAGAATGCAACTGTTAAGTTAGTTTAAAAAAGGCACTTTATTTTTTTTTTTTCTGTTGTGGGGAAAGATTTAGGTGTAGGAGAGAAAAATCTTGCCCCTGGGACTAAAATTAATATATATTTAATATGCATTAAGAGTTCATGTGGTATTTATATTTATGTATGATCCCACTTAATTATGTAACTTGCTTGTTAACTTGTAACTTGTCTTTTTCATTTCAGAGTTTTACAGTGAGACACTAAATCAATCTGCTGTTCAGTTAGCCATTATGTTCAGTTAGCCATTACTTCTATTTTTTTTTTTTTTGCAAATTCAAAGTAGACAAAACTATCGCTCTTAAAATTTCTATTTTAATATGATATTAATATGGCAAAGTTTTTTTTTTTGGTTTTTTTTTTGCCATCTCTTGTTTTTAATTAAGATAACCTAAGTGTGATAGATAAAAATTTAATATTTAAAAAAATTCAGTCATCTGCAAAAATTCCCCCTTTTTTTGGGGAACTGGTTTGCCCAGAATCAAATGCTTTGAGAACATGTTGCTCCCATGTTTTTGCAACTAGATGCATACTATTCCTAAAAGAATTATATACAAATGCTAAAAATTGAGCTTTTTTAGTATGTATTGTTTTCTTTACTTAAATATATACAGTATCTATGTTTTTAACTTAATTTCTCAGATGTAAGAGTTGGACTCACTGTCATTGCAAGACATTATGTTTTGAAAATTTGACTACTTTTACAGAGTCACCGTAATAAATCTAAATGTCATTGAATGTTGAAATAAGTAAGTCATGAAAAAGCTATACTTATGTATAACGATTTTCCCCATCCCATCCTTACCAGTCAGGATTTTTTTAGCAGCTTCAGTAGTTCTTTGCTGGTGAAAAGTTTATCTTTGAGTACGTGGCACTATGGACCATACAGTTCAAGTACTGCCTGCTGGAGTATTCAAGAAACAAGTGGCTAACTGGCAGATTTCCTACATTATATTTGATTACTCCTTACAAATACAGTGACAATTGGAAACTAAAATATTTATATTTTTAAAGAATGAAAAATAAATATGGGTATTACTTAAAGATGTAGATTAATATAAATTTATTTTAAATTATTTTGCCCTCCTTCCTGATAACCTCTCATTAACACCAATGACAATTTTTCTGGGAAAAAGCAGATGCATAGCAGGATTTGGACCATCCTGAGCAGGAACTGTTATTTGTGTTCAGAAAAGCAATTTTTATTTTCTCTGATGCATACTTGCAACTATTCTAGTCTTTTAAATCTTGTTTTCTGACATAGTTTCTGCGGCTTTATGTGTCCTGCCCTGCTATAGCCTTAAATGGGAGCAGAAAGAGGAAGCTAGAGCTTGCTTTTTCGTGAATGTCTTTTACTTTTGTGTCTTCTTTGTAATTTATATCTCTTTATGCCCAGGGCTAATGTGACAAGGTCAAGTAGTATTAAGTTTTCAGTAATGTCCTTTGTCTTTCTGGTTTGAATTTTCTTAGGGAAAAAATTAACAAAGAATGTCAGTAAAAGGAAAGCTATAGAATGACGGGGAAATGTTTTAACTCTCATAATGCCAGCGGCAGGCCGGGATAGTCCAGTAGATGATTTCTAATTCACCACAGCATGTGCTGATAAAGATCCAGAGAACTCACTCACTATAAATAAAAAAAATAAGGCATTGTCTTTCATCCCTTGTGCAAAGTACGACATTTATTTCCTGGATATTTCTGAATATGTGAATCTATAATCTGAATCATGGATTTTCAGTCTTTGTAGCCATACTGTTAGCCACTAATATCTATGATGATATTTCTATAAATATTAAATATATTTATGTACTATTGACTGGTCATGATAACCTAAAATGCTGATATGTGTAGTACTATGTGCAGATCTACATGTAAGGCATGGAGGTAATAGAACTAAATAGGAATAGAAACAGGACAACTTTACCATACGGTTTGAGAAAGAAATGGAAGTATAGTGATGCATACTCAATTGGCTTTATATCTGTTTCTCTGAATTTACTATTAAAATATTCTGTTGTCCTATAGAAATAGTTGTCAACTGAACATAAAAGTGATTTTTTTTTTTTCTGTTTTACATATGGTCAAATTTTCAACTAGATTAAAGAATCTACCAAAATTTGGTCCAGATTTTGTGTACCAGAGTTAAATCCAGCTCTGTCTTTCAGCTGTAACGCCTGTGCTGGAAACACAACATAGTCATACATTTCAGCAACAATTAAGCATTTTTGACTCTGACCATTTTTAAGTTTGTGGAGTGAGTGGCTTTTGGTTTTTTGCATGATCATGTTTCTGACCATAACAATTACGATTAATAGCTTTCAAAGACACTATAACCCTCAGAAAATCCTGCTTTCCATTAAAATTAGCAGTCACAAAGTGACCACACACATTGCCATCAGTGTTACCGTTCTCTCATTATGCTCAGGCTTTGTCCTTACAGGGGTGAAACAAGTTACCTAAATGTGTATTTTTTTAAAAAATATGTAGTTGACATAGCATGTGTTTATACATAAATATTCGAGTTTTAGTTGAAGACTGGTTGGAGTTGGGGGTTTTTTGCATCTTGATTTTAATTTTTCCTCCCTCTTTCATATTTAACGTAAAACAAAATAAACTTTTTTAATCTGAAAGGTCATATTTTGAATATGACCTTTCAGATTAAAAGGCCTGGCAGGTGACTGAACTGTTCAACATTCATTTTTAGTTGCACTGATGCAAGTTTGTAAGTAAAGAAACTTGAATAACACTAGATGCTGATGTTTTAATATTAGTGATAATACACATCTTACAGTCCAAAATCCTTCATACAGGTGGATGTCAGCTCAGTTTCTTTACAATTACTCTTCAGTATTGCAAATAAGAATTTTGTAATAGCTTTACTACTTCCTGTGCTTTATTGCACAAGAAAAACTCTAATATGCAAGAAGAAAAATTCCATAACTGTCTGTATAATAGACACCTATTTGACGCTGTCTTACAAAACTAGTAAGACAGAGGAAGCACTAAAAATATATTACAGGACAGTACAGCCTTCACCTGTTAAGAAATACAACTGTGACAATGGTTATGTTAGTTTTAGAATCTAGGAAGTAATGTGCTGAGTGGAGAAGAGAAACAAACTGCCAGGAAGTTTGAGCAATGGGAAATGAAGGAAGAGGAAAGAGGAAAAGCAGATTTTATTTCTTCTCCAGAATCAGGGCCTTCTGTTAGTTTCATGCTAGCTATGGTGCCTGAAGAAAAGCCCATTGAGTTGTGTAAATTTTGTAAGACTTCAGATCCTCAGCACTAAATGCAAGAAACAGAATTAAATGTTTACCAGATAAAACTTCAATGAGTGAATATTCAAAACTGAGCTCCTGAGGAGACTTACTTTCAAGTTAAAATTTCAGTAATTACTTCTAGCACCTTGGATAGCTAAATGAGTGTTTTCTGATATAAATAAGTAAATTGTCATAACTATAAGAGATTCTGGTGCCTTTCTGTTTATGAACTGCTGTTTTATTTAATTAAAAAAACAAAAACAAAACCAAAAACAAACACTGATGCACAGAATCAGACTCTACAACCAGTCCTCCTCTTTTTTGTTCTTAGATTAACTGAACTTGTGCCTTTAAATTCATTTGTGTCTTTGGAAAAGCTGGATATCAAAAATAACTGCTTGTCAGGTGAGTTGTATGAAAAACATAAACCCCCATCCAAACAAGAACTTCTTAATTAAATTACAAACTTATTTGAATTTTATGGTTCTCATTTATTTATAAGAGACATTTATACAGAAAACATATAAATATTTTCCAAACATGGATGTTACAGATACTAATTATAACTATACTGTATAGGTAGCAAAATTGCTTGTAGTAATTCATGGTTCTGGTACATTTTACTTTTATGTAAGATTTTATGAGAAATAATATGGTTCTGCATTCAAATTTATATTTAATTTTCTTTCCAACTACAATACAGACCTTAAAGGTATCATTACATGGTTAAGTGGCTGTCATAAACTAAGGGAGTTGTCACTCCATGGAAATCCTCTTCTCCAAGAAAGGAATTGGAGGTAAGAAAATAAATTAATTTGCTAAATCAAAACAATCAAAATCAGCCAAAAAGTTGGTGTATGTACGTTAGTTAAATAGTAGAAATCACAGAATGGTAGGGGTTGGAAGGG